TTCTCTTTAAGCCCCCAGGGATAATGCAGTCAAGTACCTGTTTTCCTTAAGTTTTTTTTTTTTTTTTAAGAGATACTTCTGTAACTCTAAAGGCTCCTTATAAGGATTTAGAGGCTTCCTCAGTGCTCCCCAGCACGATGCCCATTAACACGTACTTCCTACACTGAACTGTAAATAACTTGAAAGCAGGAACCATGCAATCTATTTCTCCAGTACCATGCCTGGTGCATAGTAGGATATCAATAAAAAGTAAAAGATATCACTTGCCACTTCTTTCATCTTGTTCCTTTTGTTCCAGAAGCCCACTCAGCTGTGCCCACTTCCTCTTTATTGGGACAACTAAGTTTGCATTTGTTCTTCATTCCCAGCCCTCATTTGACCCCCACTGTTAACTGACAGCACTGCTATAATATATGTAGCAGTTTCTTATTTTAAAAACATATTTGAGCAAGACTGGCTACTCACTCTGCCAGATAAACTGTCCTCTTTCCATAAAGGACAGGTAACCTTGTTCTGCCCTTTCCCCAAGCAGTCTGCACACTCCCTCTTCCTGCCCACACGTAAAATTCCAAATCACGTTACCTCATTTACCAGGACTTAGGTGGAGCTCACCAATATTCATACGGCCAGATTTTCATTTCTCAAGAAAATTCACAACGATTTAAATCCTCTCAATACACATCCAAAGGCAACGCAGAAACCTATGCTCTGAACACATCAAATTCCTTGATTCTCTGGGACCTAAATACTACTAAATAAAGTTCACTTAATGGATTCATAGGACTCTCCACCATTATTAATTCTTGTGTATAAATTCTTACTTTGAATTGTTTCTTGAAAGGGCCTTCTTACCCAGAAACCAGAGATTCTACTTCCTGGGATTGTTTTACGGACAATAGGAAAAGTCAAACTAGTGTCATCTAGTTCTTTCCTTTCACTGCCTTTTCCCCTCCACTCTGTCCTGACTTCTCAACGTCCATTAACAGCCTACAGCTGCAACTTATCAATGCCTGGAAGCCAGTGAAAGAGATGCCAAGATAGGCACATTCTATTCTGATCAATCTCCCATGTTCGATTCTTGGTTTTTCTCCATCGAGCTCTTTTCTTTCACCTGACGCAGTTGTCATCTGTCCCAATATCATTGCTCAAACCCTCCAAAAGAGCCCTGTTTTTCCTCTTCCTAACCTGCAGGACTCATGAATGTTCACATTAACCAACCTTATAAAAGGCTGATAGGTTGAATCCTCAAGTAAATCACTTTCTGAGATCAGAAAGGTTTCTTCTTCCCCCTAATTCAATCAACAGGCTGACAATGAAAAGAACAAGTTGGATCTCCACATCAGCTTGTACTGGAATAAATTTCCCATTAAAACTGTAAAATACACTCACACCAAGTTAGATAAAAAATATTTGCAACATATGCCAAAATAACTTAATAAGGTACTCTTACAGATCAGTATGAAAAAAGCCAAGACTTAGTCAAAATAGACCAAGTGACAAACACAAAATACATTAAATGCCCAATACGCATGACCAATCACCTGTAATTAAAGAAATGAAAATTAAACACCATTGTTCACTTACCAAATTAGCAAAATTAAAGGAAAAATTAGCCAGTATTAATCAAAGAAACTGGTGTTCACAATCATGTTATGTTAGGTATGTTAGCTGGCTCCTTTCTGGAGGCACTTGGGCAATATTTTAAAAAATTTGAGTAAGCAACTCCACTCCTAGGAATATAGACTAAAAACAGTATAAAAACCTGAATAAGATCACAGCACTGATTAAAATGGGGAGGTCTATATGCCCTTTAGTACGGAGTTGGTCAAATTACCTATAAACAAAACACTGAATTTTAAGGAATCTAAGACTACCAATTTTTAAAACACCCATTACATGATGTTCTGAATAGGAAAAGATGCTAATTAAACTGTACTATGCCACTGATTTTATGGCATGCCCCCCATTTTAACATGCCTGAAATTGGGATGGATCTTACAATTGATGAAAAGCCTAGTATGCAATCTTTTAAAAAGTATAACGAATTTGACATGGAAATGAGTCAGTTACAATACGCTAAAAAGAATCATCTCAACTTAATGTATCAACGCAAAATTTTTTTTGAAAGAATACATACATCGAAATGCTAACAGTGGTTACTTCCAGGCATAGGTTTTTAAATTATATTTCTGCATTCTTTTCATTACAAATATTCGTGACTCTTATAATTGGGTACTCAATAAAATATTACCAATTTTTCCCCAAAGACCTGAGACAATGGGTCTAGACACAGACACTACCAACCACTTTCTTTATGGACTGTATCTTTCATCCTCTACCTTGTCTGGCACTTTCACTTGTTCTCAGTACTCCTGTCGGTAAAAAAAAATGCAGAGTAGATGACACACTAGAGTGGGGATTGGGGATATTAGAGTAATAACAATTGGAAATACAAAGTTTATATAACAAGTCAATTTTTGCCAAATTCTCATTCTAACAGGAATTGTTAATAATGATCATTTAACAGTACCATTGTCTCTCAGTATTCTCAGGGAATTAGGTCCAGGACTGCCCCCACATACCAAAATCCTCAAATGTTCAAGTCCCTTATATAAAATGGTGCAGTATTTCCATGAATTGTATATAATTTAAATCTATATGTGTTCAGTACAGATGCAACCATTCTAGGCCTAACTACATAGTAGATGTCAGAAATAATGTAACGTTTTTTCCAAATATTTTTAATTCCCAGTTGGCTGAATCTGCAGATTCGGCACCTGCGGATACTAAGGGGTGACTGTTCGTGCCGTTTTAAGATATGTTAACTCAGGCCTCACCACTTATCCACACTATAGAGACGAGGAAACTGACACAAGTAACGGAACCAGAACTGAAGTCACACAATTAGTACCTGATACCAACCTTGTTTCAGAGGATTACAATTCCTTTCTACTCTAATGACAGATGTACAAATTTACGTAAGATGGGATTCTGACTGTAGTTGACTGAAACTGTAATTCCATAAAAATCTTTGAAGCTGTTTTTACTAAGTAACCAAAAA